ATAGAAATCACAGACGTAGTCCTACGTCAAAAACTGTTTTTGAACTGATTCAATACTCACAATGTTCCCACATCTTCCTAATTAATTATTAACTAATTATCTTTACTTTTAATCAAAGTATTTATCAAAATTGTAGCTGAGGATATTTCCAATAAGTATCCCGGGTAAAATAAAATATCTCAGTCATATAAAACAAATATGGATTAGCAAGACAGAAGAGAAATAATATCAAAAACATTATCTGAATAGTTGAAGATGCTAATTTCAAATAACAGACTAAAGTGGTAATTTTTATACGATAGATGAAGAGATGAAAGTATAGAGTTGATAGTTCCGTTAGAGTACGGTAAAAAAAATCCGAATATTGATCCTGCAATATCGTTCTAATACTAAATTAAGAAATTACGGTATCAAATCTACAATAAAATCCTTAATTTAAGGATAAACCTGTCCGCCGGTATTTTCATTGGCGGTGGTGGTGTGGAATGGCGACGGCCTCCTGCATCTGCTTATTTTGATTAAAATTATTGGTATGTCGCTAATGAATATTTACCCTTTTCAAAACTCTTATACATAACTTTATGATTGGAAAACTATTGGATCAACTTGGGTCCACTATATTCATTTATAAAAATATTATATCACCATGTTTAAATAGAATACGAGCAACCCAACTTACTAACAAAATCTCCTTTTCTGTGTCTTTTGTTGGGGTGCAGAGGTAAACACGGCCCACAAACAACCAAGGTCACTCTAATATTCCTTCCCTACTACCACCTGATTGCAAGGACAACTTGTACAATGAGAATGGACGGTCACTCCCAGCCCCATTCAGTTGATTCATCGTACAATTCCACTGATTCTGATCAATCACGGAGTAGTAACCATTGATATGTGCAGTCAATCTAAGCTAAGCTAGCTATTGATTATCGTATATGAATAATGTTTATAGTAATACATATCTTTCATTATTGACTTTATATCATTTAATATTATTTAAATTACATTTTATTATACTTATTTCTTAATTTTAGCTATTATGAGCGGCTCCAGGGAAGCTTAGTGCCAGCTTGAAAAGAAATCTGAATCGTTCATTATCTGTTTTGTAAAAATCTTGTGTTTATTGGATCATGTTACATGGCATTATAACGCATTTTCAATATTATATTACATTTAAATAAGTATTAACCCGGTAACACACATTTCAGGTCATCCAGGTCTTAAATAAAATGGGATCCGTTCCTTTTATCAACAGTTGTGATATTGCATCATATGCTGAAATTATATGCATTATCGCGTATTTCTGTTGTTCATTACATACCAGGTGAGGACTTAATCATGTTTTGCCGTGGAGTGTTTTGGTTTTGAGATGCTCGATAACCTTACAGGGATCGGTTTTGCTTAATGAGCAGAATATCATGGGTTTAATCCCAAGCTCTCCCACAACATAACACAACACAAAAATATCAAGTATCATTCTAGCTAAAAATATTTATTTGCATAATATAACCTGGAAATTTCAGGGTTACATCTTCCTTATTGGGAGCTGAGGAGACATAGAGCTGCATCATATTGTATGTAAAATAATTATTATTTTCATTGCAGAATACCAGTTTTTCTATCCATTTAAATGTATTCTCATTATTACGTATTTTAATGTTCTAATATATTTCATTTCTCCATTACATATGTTTACTATATACATAAATAAATACTGGGTTGGGAGGGAGCATCAGGGTATTATTTGACCTGGAACTGGACGATTGGAGTGGTATGACAACCGGAGTCTAGGAGGGAATAAACACTATCATTTTCTTTATCCTACCGATTCGATTGTGGTGGTGTGAATTCTACTTCAACAGTTTCAGTGAGATTGACGCGCCCTTCTTTACAAACCATCCTGTAAGAAACTTTATAAGTATTGCGAATTGCGTTATTCGATTTGTTGGATCGTATCGTTGGAAGGAGATTCTTAAATTCCCGTGGATTTCGTATAAGTGTCACTGCTTACGGGTCCGCACCTCCGTTTTGGCCCTTCATACAGCGATATTGTGAATTCAGATCGGTAGCTCAAATTGATCTTGCTATTAAGTGGAGCTGCATACAAGACAAGATCTTCGAAGGGGTGGTGGCTACCTTACATACATGTTTAAAAAGAATACGAGCACACTTAAATTCAAAATGCGGAAAATTTGATTTCGGAAACCTATCAATCTATTAATTGAGTAACAGAAAAATGCCAATTAGTTTGAAAAAGCTTTTGATTTTGTGGCGAAATTTTAACGGCCAAAAGAAAGGGTGCATATAGGGTTTTTTTTTAATGTTTCTTTATAATATCCTTGTAATAAAACTTGAAATGTTCCCTCTATCAGTATCTACAGATTTGATCAACATACGAGGGAGAGAGGGTTTGAGCTTGCGTTACTTATCGTTACATAGGGAGAAGAGGTGATAGGAAATGTAGCATAACAGATTGACCAGAATGAAAAAATAATGGAAAACTAAAAACAAAAATTCGTTGTTAAATAATTCTACGCGACCCTTGTGTCTAAAACAAAACAAAAACTTTTAAGACTGTTCAATGAGATTATTTCTTGAAGAAAGGGGGGGGCGAGTGAGTTAGCGTAACGTTATTATACAGAGGGGGGTCTTGTCAACAGTTACTTATTATTACATAGGGGGAGGGGGTCCAAAATCTGTATTTTTGCGCTACGTAATTTGTGAATCCACCTAATTGGTATCATGAAATTACTAAAATATTTCGGTTCTCTCTTTGTTGGCGTTTAAAGGAATTTTTTTGAAATGTTTTTAGGATTTTTGCGTTCTTCGAGTAATTTCGTTTGGGTGTTTTCAAAATTTTCCAGTTAATTTGGATTTTTCCGAAATTTAACACGGTATATGGTTCATTTTGATGTAATGTTTACGTTTTGAATACTATATCAGTGAATGTTAGTTGTTTATAAACATTATTATGATTCAAAGGATACACAGTATTTCTTTATCAAATCTTTTTGTCATTTGTATGACTATTTTAATATTTTTAAAGCTATTTTGATTTTTCAAACCATTTCGGAGTGTAAGAGACTTTTTTCATTTTCAGAGCCATTGTGTTGGTTTATATCCATTTTGGCATTTTAATGTTCTTATGCCATTTTTTTCCTTGTTTTTGTAATGCTATATTGCCCGAATAATGGTTTAAGAATTTTCAATAAGTTGAATCTTTTTAGTAAAAAAAATATACATGAAAATTGATTCTATTTCGGATATTATTGCGACTTCATGCATGAAATTTGTTTCACTACAACAAACATGCAGTATTAACGGCGCCGGTGGTGTAGTGGTAAGCGTGATTACCTCTTACCCCAGCAGGCCTGGGTTCAATCCCAGTCCTCGCCGCCGGGATGTTCTGAGGCATAACATCTCTGATCACGCCTGCCTTCGGATGGGAAGTAAAGCCGTTGGTCCCCGGTTCATGAGTTGATGGGTCGATAGGTAGGGTCTAGGTGTGGAAGCTGCATTCCTGGCACGTCGGTAGCATTGGTGCTCAGCACGGAAAACAAGATCGACGGAAAAAAACAAACCAAAGGGGGAGCAAACATGCAGCACAGTTTTTATCATTGTGTGTTCTCTGATAGATATTTATGATTTTGAAGTCGCAAAGTGACTATCAAGACCACTTTTTGTGTTAAGTCCGTTTCGGCATTCATAAAACGATTATGGTAATTATGATCATTTTTGAGTTTTCAATTCGATTTCCTATGTGTTAGTGTCACTTTGATGTTTTCATCGAAATTTTGGCTTTTTTCAACATCAAACGGCTTTCTAAGTAATTATAACGTTTTTAAGGCGTGTTTTGCCTTTAACGGTGTAGCCATCCAAAATTCAACTATCCTGACCTTTTATTATACCTGCTGGAAGGCAACCATAGGCAGCTGCGTTAAGTAAGCTATAAATAAAACAAGAAAATCACAAACAAATAAATATATATACTAAAGGTGAGATGGTAAGAAGTGGCCTCACGGAAACCGTCATAGTGTCGCAATGCATAGAGGAGCGGAGGTCGGCTAGGATTAAAATATCAAAGGAGGTTGTGCAACAATCCTAGCTTCAAATAATCAACTACGAGACAATTCCATCGCCTTGAAGATAACTGCTATTCCGGAAATTCACCCCCAAACATAGTTACCTTCTACTCGTAAATTCCAGCTGTCACAGCTCCTCAAATTAGTCATAAACGACCTTTCGTCCGACTGCCGACACCAAATTTGGCGCGTGGGCAATTGGCTACTCCGTCCTCAAACTTGTTATTCCAGCAGACGCATACACGATGACATCTCGCCGTTCATCATACTCTCAATGCTCAACTCCCTCATTTTCCGAGTATTGCGCTATTATGCTACCAACCGAAAGGTTACATAATCACTTAGAAAGACGGTTGTCGCACTCTTTTTGAACTCTGCTCTCGGTATTTGCTCGGCTAAAGAGTTTCATATTTCAATCCACCAGCAACATAAGCCCTCCCAGTGCCGTGGTCTATTTCTTCACGTCGGTGGCAACGGCGACGATATGGTCATACCTTGTGATCCATCGCCACCGGTTTGTTTTTCAAAAGGAGGGCTTTTGCGAAATACACAGGTAAACGCGGACTCGGAGTGAACGCGCGAAATGAATTTAAAACGAGAGATTAATAATTTTTTTTTCTTCATTGCTACTCATGCTCTGAATTCAATTGGAGTAACAATGGACGCCGCTGCTTCGGCCTCTATATGCCGATTGCGCCAGCCTACCCATGGGGGGTGGTCCTAAGCGTACAAAGTTCCCACGTGGTTCACAGATTTTGCGGACTCATGAGTCATTAATTGGATAGAATTTAATTCGAACAGCGGCATCGGAGTTCTTGGGTTGGGCTCAGCCGCCATGCAATAGAGTTGATCGCATATTACACGCATTCGACTAATCCGGTTATTGATATTAAATTTTCCGCTTGTTTGTCGTTTCAGCTTGGGCTCCCTCGAGGCCACCCTACCGCGTGAGATGGTGTCACGGCGTAAAATTCTGTCCCGTTCGCGGGACGATCTCAATCTGGACTCGACGTTCATCGCCCAGGAGGAAGAGGAAGACATTTGGTACCAGAAGGAGAAACTCTATAAGGTAAGTTGATGTCTCGTCGCGTCAAAGTTGTCACTCTGAGGTGAACCGGAGCTAAATGGTGATAATTGAGTGCGAAACTCACTAACGGTGAGAGCAGTGCAAATTAAATGATACGCTTGTTTGTCTCGTCGGAGAAATGTGAAACTGATGCACTTCCGCAAGCATGGGAATTACGGAAAACGTGTGTAACGGAATGTGGCCAAGTGCCTATTGCTAATTGCTTTTCACTAGAACCGATTTCAAAACAAAACTCGGTAAACGCTGTGTGAGATGCAAATCTCACACCTAAATCCGTTGATCGATAAATCTTCACCACTTCTACTTCACCCGGTCATCAAGACTCATCTTTAAAAACCAGCGAAGATTTCGTTTTCGATTTCATTTGTGTTTCGTTCGAGCTTAGCTGGGAGATGTGATTCCCCGCTGCGCTCCGTTGAAGCTCCCTTTCTCACCCAGTCATCTAACTGGTTTTGGATTACACTAAGCACCGTTAAGGAACTCCCTTCCATTCCACAACGACGCCGCACCATCGTCGTTGATGGTGTGGTCGGACAATCAGTCAGTCTGTTTGTTAGTAGGCCCGTAGAAAAGGGTTGCACCACGCGATCAGTAGAGGATGCAGTGCTCATCATCTTCATCGACCCAGTGCCAGTACCTGAGAGCTACGTTGCTGAACCGTTCGTCGGCTAATGAAAATGAAATGAAATATAAACTGCTTTTTATGATAGATTTCATATACTGTGTCTCATCCTTCGTTCGCGATGAATGTGCAGTAGTTTTTTTTTTAACTCACAGTAGGTACTCATCCGTAAGTAGATATTTATCGTCAATCCGACATGTATGAAGATGATGATTGGAGTGAACGGTAAAGGGCTCGCATTATTATCCCTCCTGACGACGACGTCGACGGTGCGCGGGGCTTAAAGTGAACCGCAAGCCGTTAAGTGCCTTTCAAGTGCTCTGCGGTAAGTGGTTTTGCTTTTAGAATTGCTCCGGTACTCCGCTAGTCAACGGCGTCGTTCCAGAAATCAGCTGGTCGCAAAATTACTCCGTCAGTGATGAGATGATGATGATGATGAGCACTATGAATCGCTTGAAAGTGAAATCGGTTCTAATTTTGCGCACATGGTTCTGTTGTTCTGTTAAACCCGTGTTCGGAAAATCTCAAATCTTATGCTTGAGATTACAGTAATCCCTTAATGTATGCGGAGGTGGCCCTTCTCTCCCAACGCTGTTTCTCGGTTGTCCTTTAACCAATTACGCAGATTTTTGTATGTGATTAGAGTCAACCATAATCTAGTTATCTACAGAAATCAATTGGTTTAAGGACAGCAGAGAAATAGCGGTTGGTGGACGATACCACCCACAGCATAAATCGAGAGATTTCTGTATTCACCTACGAGTTTTTTCTTGCGATATCAAATCAAAAATCACCGACGAGTTTTCAGGTTCAAAAATTCATTGCTATATATTTTGGCTCAATTATTAAAATTTGTTGAAAGTTTTTTAGTAAAAAAAACTTATGTTGTTAAAATCTGACCCTTACCATATTTATCCAAATTAATATTGGAAAAAATGCAAAGCAATTGAAATAAAGCAAACCAATGTTAATGCACAAGTGAAAAGGAGAAATCTGTGTGGAAACATTAATTCCAAGCTCCAGTATTTTGAAAGCAAATCTAGGTTCAGCATATCAAGTTTCTTCAATATGTCTTCAAAAGTGGTGTTCTACATTTTTTCGAAGTCTGGAATATGGAAACATTTTTGATCCTCCTGAGTTTCGAAAGTGTATCTAACTTCTAGATCACAAGCATATTACAAACTGCCAGAATCTTAAAATTATCTTTGAAATTTGAAGCAACTGAATTTTCTGTCAATATTCTCAACCTCAAAATTTCGTCGAAGTCCAACAATTTTAACCTTCTAGCGTCCGTTGTCACCTAGAGATGACACCTGTTTTGCTTTGGCTGTAAAAATCCAATGCTTTCTTCGACTTTGATAAAGCGGGTGCAAATGAATGTCATAGGTATCTATCTTCATTTGCTTTGGTGTGGACAGGATTGTAACTGAGTGGGCACCATGAGTCGGTACCAAGCAAAGACAAAAAGAATTGTTTTCAATCTTTTTTTTTTTTTTTCTTCTTCAAAACCGCATGTAGGAGTAGAAAGACCACCAAAATAGCAAGGTATAAATATAACTAAGTTTACTTTTATGGTTTAATTATGGGTGCTGGAGGGTCTATGTTTCTGTTAGAAAGTTTTATAATCTTGGTGAATTTTAATGATCCAGATTCCAAACTTGAACCAGTTCAGATGAATGATTTTCTCTGTCACATGTCTGGCATATCAAAATTCCTCGCAATTTTTAAATCGCACAATGTTCAACATGTACTATTGTTTCAGAATCTTGATAGTTTTATAATCTGATAACTTGAATATAAATTTCCAAAGCCTCAGAATCTTAACATATCTTCAAAATTCTGAAGTTAGAATATGTACCTAATCGTAATTTTCAAAATTAATCTATAATTGAATTACATCGATAATTCTGAGGAAAGTCTTCGCAAGATATTATGGAATTATCTCTAGAATTTCTTAAGATTGTTGAGACTCTCTATAGTAATCTTTTGAAAAATTCTACATAATACTCATAGACATATTTGAAGAACATCCCAGGAAGTTAAATCAGAACACTTTAAAATTTACTTAATAATTATCTTTTAATTTATTAAAGTTCTCCCTTGACTTCACATAAATTTCGACACTAATCCTTTAAAAAAATCATATTTTTCATGGGATAAAGCTCAAATTATCTTGGAACCCAAGTAACATTGCAAGTTTTATAGTGGGTTTTAAGCATGCTACAAATCTAAATCATGGTCTACAGAACCCTAATAAAACCAAAATTGTTACTTGGGAACTCTTCTGCAAGTTTTCCTTCAATTTCTCTGAGCTAATGCTTTTTGTTTGATTTTCTTTTGCAATCATCTACAGAGTTCCCATGCAATGGTTTCAGAATATCATTGGATATCTCCTCAAAACTTCTTGGAACCCATATTTCTTAGAGGCTTTTCTTGTAATTCGCAGTGGTTGCAGTGGTGTAAGGTCCCGAACAGAGGAGAAAAACTACCCCAGTTTAAATTCAAAATATTTTCAGAATAAAAAGATTTTTTTCTAAATTCCTCAAAGCTCATAAAACTTGAGGAGCTAGATAGATAGATTATAGTTTAACATTTTTCAGTATCAGACGTTGGGAGTTTGAGAGTTAATATAATACCTACGCAATTGAGACGTTTTGTTAATCCTTGATTTGTTTTCCGTACTGAGTACTAATGCTACTGACGTCACACCTGAACCTATCGACCCATCAACTCATGGACAGGGGACCGATGGCAATAAAATTATGCCCCAGGCCCTTTGGGGGTCAGAGGCAATCACGTTTACCACTACACAACCGGCGCTGCTGAAGCCATTGAGACCTTTTGTAGATCTTTACTCCATATAAATATGGTTTTCTCATAGTGATTTCCATATAAACTTCAAATGGTTTGTGCCAAGTCAGTTTGTTACTAATGTTCAAATGAGATCAAATTTGCAAGGCCCGGTATGAAACCCTTTGAGCACTGTGGAGTTAAGATTAAAAAATTTGCGTTCAGCCTAATGGTAAATCATCCAAGCAAATTATTTAAAACAAAATGAACCGTTAACATGTGCCAACACTCTCCTCGCCCCTCTTAAATGTCCACGATGATTGTCGAGAAGTCAAATATATAAACATTTGTTTGCATACCACACTGCTCAATCTGGATCTTCCATCTACAGGGGAAATATTAAAAGTCTTCTATTCCAGGAGAACAAAATTTCGAGCACCAAGTCCTGAGGACATCAACAATTTCACCAAGCTCAAACAATCTGAACAAATCTCTATGTATTAAAAATCTTTAAATTATAACTACGTCTGGAAGCTCTCATTAGTATCCTAGAAACTCCAATATTTCTTAAATAATAGTTGACAGCATTTCAAAAAATTATAGAGGGGAAATGGATGTAATGTCGGCCTAAATGCTCCTAATTTGGGCCCATGCAAAAATTCAGCAATCGACTAAATTTTCAATAGTGACCAAAAATAGCCGATAGCACCGTCCCAATGAAGCGTTCACCTAGATAAAATTGATAAATAACAGATTTTTAGCAATGGGCCCAATCACAGATTCATAAGCCAACATTATAGCCATTTCCCCTAAATGTTGATTTGCAACCGTGGTTTGTGGTCAACCGTCCCAAACCTAAACAAACGGCCCGATGTCAAAAATTAATATGCCAAAAACCTAGAGCCTTTTAAAATCGATATAAAATCCTCAATACAGCATTTGACGGGTAGTTCTGAAAAATCTCCCATATTCCGTTTTTAGGAATCATATTGCTGGAATTATATACAATTTAGACAATGCAGATTAATGTATACATAAGCTGTTTCAAGAGATTCTGCACATGTTAAAATGGAGTTCTATAATGATTGCTATTAGCGTGTAACACACGTATTACAAATAAACGAATCGGTTCCTCGATTTCTTTGCGAACAGAATGATTTCCAATCCAAAAATAACCCCTGAACTATCAATTGGATCTAACAGAATAGTCTAAATACTTTTGTAAACCCCTTGAAGTAAGCTCTGAAACCGTAAATTTAAATTATTAGTATAAGAAAAAAGATGGGCCTGAGGGGGTTTCAGAAATCTGTGACAGGCAAAGTATTTCAGTAAGGAAAAACGTTATGAAAGGGGGAGGGGCGGGTAATTTTTCATCAATTTTGAGTGACGCACTTACTAGATGCTCAAGAGTACTCTTTAAAAATTACTCACAAATCACTTGAACTTTTGTAAAATGGAATGAATTTTTTGAATTATGTAAAAGATTACTTAACAACAAAAACCACAAAGTCCCCCTAAGACTTCCGTCAAAACCCATCACATCCAATCGTCCGTTACAACTAATACCCCC